CAGGGTGAAGCCATGTACATTAACGACGATTTGAGACAAATAAATGCAAATTTAATATAAAACTATGCAAATGGCGCTCTGTGGCGCGGCAGGGTTTGGTCCTGAGCCGTAGCTGGGCGCCGCGGACAGACGCCGAATGGCGCCGCCGGTGTGTGTACACTCATAGAGAATAATGTGTTCGAATTTAAAAGATGTGGCGCTGCGCGACGCGGCGCTGCGCTTCTCGTCCGGTGTGCGACCCCCTTTACAGTGGAAATACACGTGGGGGTCGCCCAGCGCTGTCTTAATTGACAGGAACTTAAGCTCTACTGATTGCAGAGGCTCAAAGGGAGCACTCTGCAGAGCAGTTAGAACCACAGAGAGGTCCCAAGAGGAAACGAGAGGAGGGCGAGGAGGATTCAGTCTCCTTGCTCCTCTCAGGAACCTGATGATCAGGTTGTGCTTTCCCACGGACTTACCCTCAACTGCAGGATGATGTGCGGCGATAGCGGCAACATAGACTTTCAGGGTGGAGGGAGACAGCCTTCGTCCCAACCCCTCTTGCAGGAAGGAAAGCACGACACTGATCGGGCATTTTCTGGGGTCTTCTCGGTGAGAAGAGCACCAGGAGACGAAGAGGTTCCACTTCAACGCGTAGGCATGTCTGGTGGACGACGCTCGAGCGGAAGTGATGGTAGCCACCACCGCTGGTGGTAGGGTACTCAAACCTGCCTCGTCCCGTCCAGGAGGCACACGTGGAGGTTCCAGAGATCGGGACGAGAGCGGCATAGGGTGCCTCGTCCCTGAGAAAGGAGGTCCTTCCTCAGAGGAATTGGCCAGGGAGGTGCTTTTCGCGAGGAGTACAAGTTCGGAAAACCAGGTCCGGGTGGGCCAATTAGGCGTGCCTTGTTGCCATGCCCACCTCGGGACTCGATCGCGAAGCCAGTGCTGAAGCGGCCTCATATGAAGCAAACCAAGCGGCGTTGCCGTGGCTGCGGATGCCATATGCCCCAGGAGCCTCTGAAAAATTTTCAGTGGAACCGCACTCTTGCCCTCGAACTGTCTCAGGCAAGTAAGCAGTGACTGTGCGCACTCGCTTGTAAGCTGCGCGCACATGGCGACCGAGTCGATTTCCATACCGAGAAAAGATCCTCTGCACGGGGCAAAGTTTGCTCTTTTCCCAGTTGACCCGAAGGCCCAGACGAGCTAGGTGCCGGAGCACTAGGTCCCTGTGTTCATAAACATGGTCTCGAGAGTGAGCTAGGATCAGCCAGTCGTCGAGATAGTTCAGGATGCGACCTTCATGAAGACGCGTGGAGACAGGGCTAGCCCAAATGGGAGAACCGCGTACTGGTATGCTTGCCCCTCGAAAGCAAACCGTAGGAACGGTCTGTGTCGAGGGAGAATGGAGACATGGAAGTAGGCGTCCTTCAGGTCGATCGCTGCAAACCAATCCTGGGGCCGCACACATTCGAAAATGCGTTTGGCTGTGAGAATCTTGAATGACAGCCTGTGAAGGGAGCGGTTCAGGACGCGCAGGTCCAGGATTGGCCGTAACCCATCGGATTTCTTCGGGACAATGAAGTAGGGGCTGTAGAAGCCGGACCTCATTTCGGCTGGAGGGACAGTCTCGATCGCACCCTTCGCCAGTAGGGTGGCGACCTCCGCTATTCTTGACAGGGGCATTGCCACCGACCATAGTGAAGCGGACTCCCCTGAAGCGGGGAGGAGACCGTGCGAACTGAATCGCATTGCCGAGCCTGATGATTCGGGCGACCCAGCGGGACAAGTTGGGAAGCTCTAGCCAGGCTCCCAAGGACTGTACCAGCAGGGTCATGCGAACCACAGAGGTCCCCTCGGTGGTGCAGTGAGGCGGAATGACAGGCCCAGACATAGGTGGCATAGCGGCCCGGTGCGGGGGCACGGTCATTAGCCGCATCCTGACAGAGGAGGCCAGGGAAGGACCAGCATTCCATGGGGACCTGCTCTGCCAGGGGTCTGGCGACAGAGGGGGACGAGAGTGGCGAGGCCCGTGGGTGGCGCACACTGTCATCCGAGAACTCTGTCACAGAGGGGGACGAGAGTGGGGAGGCCCTTGGGCGGCACGCACTGTCATCCGAGAACTCTGTGTGCACAGAGATGGGTATGTCAGTTCTTTCTTTAACCACATTAGGGTGCTGCCCACCCGGGGGTGAACAGTGGGGAGTGGAGAAAAAAAAAGATTCTCCCCTATTCTCAAGGAGTGGCCCTGCTACCATCTCCTGGAAAGAACTGTTGGCCATCTCTGAGCAGCCCGTATCAGAAGCGCCGCTTGGCCTGGCGTTTAGTGGGGCGCGGGGCTGGAGAGGGCTGTGGCGCCTTCCTGTGGCTACCTCCACGACGTGGCCCGGGTGAAGGCTGCTGCTGGGGCCGTGCGGGAGGGGCGGGTGTGGCAGGAGGGCGCCGTCTGAGAATTCTGTGCCGACGGCTGGGTGGAGGCAGCAGCAGGCTGTCGGGGCAGAATATACTTGATATATATACAGAATATACAGCAGCCGAAGAGGCCAGCCTGGGATATGGGAGCGTCGAGCAAACGAGTTCGCTCGGTGTCCCGCATATCAGCCATGTTGAGCCACAGGTGTCTCTCCTGGACCACGTTAGTGGACATCACCTGACCCAGGGAGTGTGCGGTCACTTTCGTCGCCCGGAGAGCGAGGTCAGTGGCGGCACGCTGCTCAACAAAGAGCCCTGGGTCAGTCCTTCCCTCGTGCATGTCCCTGAGCATCTGTGCCTGGTAGACCTGCAGTGTGGCCATGGCATGTAGAGAGGCGGCTGCCTGCCCCACGGCTCTATAGGACTTCACCACCAGGGTGGACGAAAACCTCCAGGCTTACAGTGGTACTTTGGGTCACAACGGGAAGAAGTACTCTGCGGACACAGTTGCATCGCAACAGAGCGTTCCACCATGGGGACCCCAGTGTACCCTTTGGCAGCAGCCTGATCGTGGGGAGGAAAGGTGGAGGAGGTCGCCCGGGAAAGCATGGCCGTCAGCTCGGGATCTGACTCGGGCAATGCTGGCGCACCCGAAGGTGGCATCACAGCGGAATCATCATCTCCCGAGGACTCCTGCCCACCTTGTGATGCTGCAATCGACATTGCATCCTCCTCTGGAGCGCCGAATGACACCCGTGGCCTGCCCGTGTCATGTGACTGGGACGACCGCGGGATATCATCCGGACGGCTCGCGGGTTGCAACACTGGAGAGCGGGATGTGGCCCGAGGACGAATCGTCGGTTGGTTGTGCCACACCGTCACCCTCAGGTCACCCTGGCCACCAGCCGAAGTACCAGCTCCCGTGGGAACGGTAGATCGGGGTGTGGATGAGGAGACTCTCACTTTTGCAAGATCACTGAGTCTCGACCAAAGTGTTACGATGGCCATGTTTCCGCAATAAAAACATGAGTTATCCACAAGCGTGCTCTAAGCCCAAACACACAAAGCAACGATTGTGCCCATCAGAGTCGGATAGAAGTCGACCGCAACCAGAAGTGCACGGGCGATGCATCTTTAAAAAGACGTGCCACGCGCTGCTCTTTTAGAGAGGATTAAATCTCTGCAGAGTGTTGAAGCGACCAGGGAGAAAACACACACACACTGGCAGATCCCTGCACAGATCGCAGAGAATGTGCACTCGCTGGGAATCGCCGTCACACCAATACCTGGAGAGAAGCTCGTCTCGAAGAGGAAGAGAAGATCTCAGGATGGCTTTGGGAGTGAAGCATACACTTGGCTCCGAAGCGAAAACATATCTGCATATTGCCGGCGTCCTCCTTTTATACCCATGAGGTGGGGCAGAGTTGCACATGCAAATTCTGCAGACCCATGGCATTTCTTTGCCATTGGCTCGTTTTGTAATACTCGAAGTTGATAGGCTTTCTAAGCGAAACCCCATTCGTCGTCATCCGACGTAACTCGGAGTGACAACGAAAGGGAACTGTTTTTTTGAGGAAACTTTTTTTGCATTAAGGTACTTTGATAAAGTTGACTTTCAATCAATTAAATGCATCCTTTCTGAATAAACGTATTCATTTGTGAGACTATTAAAAAAAGAAGAAATTAACTTACTTGCCCAAACTTTAGAAATGGTAGTGTAACTAATTTATTTTAGAAGAAGGGCTTATGGGAATTCCAGCCTCAATTTTGTACTTAATTATTATGAGTTATTAAATTAGAAGTTAAAATAATGTAGATTTGAGTTATTATTACAAATACATACATCTCAAGTAATATTTAATTAGGACACATTTCATTAATGACACCATTAGGGTTAAATGTGCACTGGAAACAATCAGTTTGTTGTGATGCAACACAACTAGATTGTTCCCTTTTTGATAATATTATTTTCCCTTTTGTTTATATCGATTTGAAATGTTATCCCAATAAATCCCACTGACGGATGTTCAGTTTGGCTTAAAATATAAATGACTTCAAACTCCAGCTGTCAAAGACTTTAAGTTGTTTGTCTTGACAAACTTTCCTTATTCTTTAATCACACAGACAAAGTGTTTCCAATCAGGTCTGGCCTCAGGCAGCTTTTTGGTCTTACACAGTTTCCTAGCTACAACCATGGTGCTGGGAAATGGAAAGAAATGTCTACAAAATAAGGAAGATTTTCCTCTCTGCTTTATATCAACATATCAAAGTGTCACCTCTGCTGAACGGCTGAAGGTGAAGTTATATTCTTTGTATAGTATGTAACTCTTATGAAAGTGTGACTTCCCACTTCGGAACGAATAGAAGGCACACAATCACAACAGTGTTGACTGACATCATGCTGTGCCAAAGCAAATCAGAAGTGAAAGGAAAACATGGTCATGAGAAAGTAAGTGACAGCCAAAAGAACAAAGTCGTTTCAGCAAACAAACTGAATAAGTCATCAAAGTTCACAACTAGATCATGCTCAGCTGTTTGTGGCAGTGCCAACACTTCAAAAAAGCATAACATAAGACTGAAAACCATCCCGGACTGTTTACAAAGGATACCACTCTCATACCTCTCTCGATGGGGTCTGTGAGGAGCAAACCTCTGGGTGCATAGACCTTCTCATTTTGCTCTTGAATATACATGCTGATCTTTTTTAGTATCTGTGGGAGTCAGAGAAAGGACAGGAGTTAGGAGGACAAACAGAGGAAAAGAAAGGTTATCATAATTCCCTTACTAATCTAATTCCCTTACTCGCCATAGGCCAGTTCACACCAAGGCCAATAACTATAACGATAACAATATAGTTTTATAAATCGTTCTAAATAAAATAAATATTGTCCATATTTACTTAATACACTTTTCTGGTCTTTTTGTGCATGATTGAAACAACTTTCCTTGCTGGTTGAGATCATTAATCCCTCTTCACTTTTCATCCGCTCCCCTCCAATCAGCTGGCTCCATTTTGGTAAGCAACGCCCAAATTCCACAATCCATTCAATTACGACAGATACAAAGTTACTCCCTAAATTTATTTTCTAATGGAATAGCCTTTTTAAATACATTAAATACATATTTTTATAACTAGAATTAGTAATATGTTTTTTCTTTAAAATAATAAGTATTATTATTACTTTATAATGCCATATAAGCCATATAATCCCCTTGTACAAAGCCTTGATTTAGTTGTTGAGGTCTTCAAGAATGTTTTCATGTTTGAATGTTCAAAACACATTATTTTTCACATATTTTACATTATTGTAGAACCTCTCTTCCAAGGTCTGTTTGTACCGCTCAGGGGTGCGTTTCCCAAAAGCATTGTTAGCCAACTATGGTCGCAAGTACCGTCGTTATCAGCATAGTTCAACGAGTTAATGTTTCCCGAAACAATAGTTCAAATGAACATTCAAACTGAATTGCAAAGTTGTGTGGTTGGAAAGACAGCTCTTGACCTGTGGTTAGAAGCATAGTTTCTTGTTTGTATGACGTGGACTCAATAAATATTTATCTTGAGCCAAATAAGCAAGCTGACATACGGTACAATCTATATCTGTCATTTATAATACATACATATGTAATTTTCGTCGGTTAGTTTGTCAAGAGATTTAAAGCATCGTTTTTGAAGAGTGCACGTCTGCATAGTGCTCTAGTATGTGAAAACGAGCCTATGGTTGAAGCTGGAAATGAAGCAAAATAACTTAGAAAAAAAGAGAATTAGTTCTCAGATGTCACGTCCGTAATTTATAGAAAAAAATCTAGCATTATTTTGATCTCAAACAGATTCATTAAAATAAGTTATTACTCCACCACCTGTGTGACATAATTAACCAACATGGTTGAAAGACAAATTTGCGACAGTGCAGTTACGGGAAACAGTCGTGACTAGCTAGTTGATTTCTTCAATGATGCTTTAAATGATATGGTAGTTAAGCAGCGAGTTATGTTGTTGTTGCAGTGGGGATTTCTTTATAACTGCAAGGGAAGCTCGGCTTCCCCTATAATGTAAAAAAAAAATAATGGTCATATATGTACTATTGTGCTAACATTTTATTGACTAAAAATGCGTTAGAATACGTTCATCTTAAAGACGAGTTCGTTCAGAATCAGCTACATATAGCAGGTCGGCTGACTCGATTTCCTTCTCATACATTCCCGTACCGTCACAGTGGATTTCCCTGTTGAAGCCTATTGAAGTTTTGTTTCCATTGACTTCAATGTGGCTGCTTTGAATTTTTTTTTTCAGTGCTTCGAGACTAGACGTTCATTGGATAAATGCTGCGATTATGTCCCGCCCACGGACGCTCAGTGTCTCTGAGGGTTAATAGAGGAGTGGGCTGGCCTGGACCCCCGGGCTTCTGCGTGATGATTGGTGGGTCTGTCGAAAGACTGCATCTCCTTTTGATTGACAGCGATTTTGTACTATAAAAAGTCGCTGACACTGAAGCTATTCGAGTTCCATCGCGGATTTTGCAAGTGTAGTCGAAAGCCAAACTGCTGCAACCTATTTCTTGGTATTTGCTTGGCGAAATTGCTAGCCAATTTTCTTCATACATTTCACACAATTATACACCACATTCCTTGTTTCAGTTTAACCTAATTCCCACATTTCCCCCTGCTGGCCACTGAGAGGACACTGGTCAAGTCACTGACAGGGTCACAGAGCATTTTCCTTAAGGAACATAGGGCAGAATTTACGTAGGCCTATAAATAAATTGAATTTTTTTATGATGTAGGCCGAAAATGAGCTTCCCCTCTTTGAAAGACCAGCAGCCGCCACTGTTGTATGGGAAATGCACCCGTTTAGTTCCTGTCTCTATAAAGCCCATACTTCCGAAAAGTGCAGTGTGCTCTGATTGGACAGCTGGACCAGTGTGTTGTGATTGGTCAACCACTCTTGAGTGTGTTTCAGAAATGTCAAGCTCCTTACCATAACCAAAATGTTCAACATAGGCCTACTACTAATGCAACTCAACCAGGTCTTGCCCTCTTTTTTTGCGTATGGCTTGGGTGGAAATTTTTTAAATGAGGAATATTGTGATGTGATCATTCCCAGAAATAAAAATACAAGACTACAAACAAGGCGTTTCAGGGAGTTCAGCAACAGTGCTTACTGATATAGAGAATACCTCCCTTTGGAGTGATTTTGTGCTTTGTAACTTTGCAGACCCCTTTCATGCTCGAACAGCAACATTATACAATAAAGAATGTTGAAAATGTAAAAAAGCATTAAAAGGTCCTTTAAAAATAAATCTAATTAGTTAATGGGTCATTCCGTGTCAAATCAACCAGAGGTCCCCAGCTCAAATTTTTGATTTTGGTTCATATATTTTCAGTAGAAAGACAAACATGAATAGTGATGAAAGCCAAAATATTAAAAGTCATGGATGTATATTTACTGAGTAATCCACAGTTTTGTAGAGGGGAAGAAAGAAAGCAGCATCAACATTTTATTTTAGGTTTATTAATAAAATCTGTTGACTTTAGCCATCTTTGTTGCATTATATGCCAACGGTGACAGTTCAAAAATGTGAGAAAGCACTTCTGTTTTTTTTTTTTTTTTTTTTGTCTCAAGTTTGGCCTGCTCAAGAAGTATTAAAGGTATCTCAATATCCCTCTAGATTCTGGTTCTTCACAAACTTTCCTTTTTTAATATTTTCATTTTAAAGGCCCTCGATGGTTCAATCCCAGAGATATGGAGTTCTTAATGTGGCTTCATCAGTAAATTGGTAAATTGTACACATTTTCAGTGGTCGAAAACGTACTCGGTTACTAACGTAACCTCAGTTCTCTCTAGAAGAGGGAACGAGTACTGCGTAATATCTTACGCTCGGGGAAAACCTCTTTTCCTCGAGATATTGAAGCCAAAAAATTATCCTTAATTTTGAATTATTGCAAAACGCGTTGCAGCAGCATACAGACATAGGCAGGCGGCTCAGCGTGCCTATTGGCTGTCCTGCGGCAACTGCAGCAGCCTATCGAGAGCGGCCCTTTGGTGACCGTCCAATGGGGGCGCTTCGTGCCCATTTTGTCACGCTCACGCCCAAAGGGCGTGGTCTAGCCCTATAAAGATAGCTCGATGGGCTGATCTCACTGGTTTTTCATCACCGAAGCGAACCAGCACGTAGCAGGCACGGCAAGATACGCAGTACTCGTTCCCTCTTCTAGAGAGAACTGAGGTTACGTTAGTAACTGAGTACGTTCTCTTACGAGAGGTTCTCTCGTCATGCGTAATATCTTACGCTAGGGGAACTCTATGCAAAACGCGTGCATGCGGGGATCCAACACCAAGGTCCCAAGGGCAGGTGCCCTGGGCTCATATAGTGCATAATCACCATGAACTCGGAGAGTCCGAGAAGAGAGGCTAGAAGCATCATTCTAAATAATTTAGCTATAAGAAGGGCTATTTATTATAATAGTGCTACACACAGTTAGGGTGAAGAGAACTTCAGCCTGTACTGAGTGATAGTGTGGGCATTATTTTTCCTCAGGAAAAAACTCACAGCCCGTTGAGCAGTGCCCAAGCGAGTGCAGTACTCTGCGCCGAACGACGGGGCATGTGGTGCTTGACTTTAAACCGATAGCAATTTAGCTTGTAAGGCGGGAACTTCTAGGTTATAAAACCTTATAAATGTAGATGGGGAGGCCCAGCCTGCCGCCATACAGATATCTTGTAAGGAGATACCACTAGACCACGCCCACGATGAGGCCATGCCTCTGGTGGAATGTGCTCTAACACCCAAGGGGCACTCCAGTCCCTTTGTAGTGTATGCCATTGCTATGGTATCAACTATCCATCTGGATAGGGTCTGTTTCGAGGCGGCTAGGCCCCTAGGCCGAATGAAATGAAAAGCTGCTCAGTCTGTCTGAAAACAGATAAGCGAGATACGTAGGCCTTTAACGCCCTAACTGGGCAAAGGAGGCCTGTGCTCTCCTCATTATGAACCGGTAGGGCAGACAGGGAGATAACCTGGGGCCTAAACGGCGTGTTGAGGGATTTAGGTACGTATCCGTGTCTGTGTTTGAGTATGACTCGTTAGGCCCAAATTCCAGACACGTTGCGCTTATTGATAGCGCTTGTAGATCCCCTATGCGTTTTACTGACGCAAGAACCAAGAGAAACACTGTCTTGAAAGACAAGTGTTTCATATCCGATGTCCGAATCGGCTCGAATGGGGCTCCTTTCAGGGCTTCTAGCACCATGGAAAGGTCCCACATGGGGATAGATGGGGTTCTGGGAGGATTCATCCTCTTAGCTCCTCTTAGGAAACTAATGACCAGATCATCTTTCCACAGTGACAGGCCAGACATGGGTTTCGTAAACGCTGCTATGGCCACCACGTAGACTTTGAGCGTGGATGGGGACCTGCCCTTATCCAGTAGCTCTTGAAGGAAGGAAAGTACTTCCGTTACCCCGCTGCTTGTAGGTGGAAAACCTCGGGTTTTGCACCAGTTAACAAACACTGACCACTTGGAGGCATAGAGGCGTCTGGTAGACGGTGCTCTGGCCTGCGTGATGGTGTTTAGCACTCCCTCGGGGAGGTTTGCGGGTACCCGTTGATGGCCCATGTGTGCAGGGCCCACCGTTCCGGGTGAGGATGCCAAATTGAGCCCCCGGCCTGAGAGAGGAGGTCTTTCCTCGTCGGAATCGGCCATGGGGCAGTGC